TTAAAACCACATTTCTAGATGTAATTTTACATGTAGATTTCAAATATGATATTACTTTGACTGAATTTTTAATTTTTAATGACATAAATCAAGATTATTTCTACTCGCATCTGGGTTATTCACACCAATGCAGCATTCATCCTCACGTTTCACCTGGTGAGACAATTAGTTTAGTATATTTAGAAAAGATGGACATATGAAAAAAAAATTGAAAAAGTTCAACATGAGTGATGTCATGATATTGCCACTAAGGTTGCAAAATATTTTTGATATGCTTCAACATTTAAGTGGCACAATAGATATGACCTTTTATTACTGAAATAGTGTGTCCTTTGTTGAATCTTTGTATTGGTGTTAAAAAGATATTTTTTTGCATTGTATAGTGGGATATTTACCCTTTCCATTCGTTCGACTCCACTTCTTAAAAGAGAGCTTTGTCTTCACTCTTTCAGTTTACAATAAATCTCTGATCTTACCGAGCCAATGAGAATTCATCGTCGATAACGGACAACTTTCTAAATGGTCATTTTCTCTGATGTCATCGCATATTTGCGATGGACACGCATTTAGCATACGTTTTTTCCAGTTCGCTGATTGGTTGAGAAAAGGTCTGCGTGATAGGTATGAAATGATTTATGACCCAGGCACTTGTCGTCGGGGCGGAGCTGCTAAACTGTAATATAGTCTATACTAGGCAGAGGGTAGTTTATAACTAGACTGCGTGCAGGGTATGGGATATTTGATAATTAAAAACTTACATAAATCTAATATATATAACACAACATCATGAAATTTAATTTAAATAATCTCACTGACTTTTACATGACTTTGGCAAGGTAGGGCATTGATTTTTACCATAGTTTAATGCAATAAATATATGATCTGTAGTAATATATGGTTATCCCACTGAAATAAAATAGCCCCTTGCTATATCTCTAGTCATTTTGTTATTGAGACTCTAAGGTAAACATGTAAACACCCATTCGAGTTGATATATATTTTTTCATATACATTATTTATATTATTTATTGGAAGTCAGCTTGCATATACCATGAACATTGATACATATCCTGACTATAATAACCTACTTTGCTGAAAACACAACAAACCACTTATTTTCTACCCAGTGAGCAATTTCCTTTTTATTGAATCCCTTTTAACATTTTAATAGTAGTCATTTTAAATACAGCTGAGCTAAAATATAAAGGTAATATAAGTGCAATGTACAGGTGGGTTTACTTATTCAATAGATGTATGTTTTATACTTTTATTAAGTTCTGAATATTTTACATAAAGTCTGACTATGGAAAGCACAGCATTAGATCCCTAAGATCAATACATCAAAATTTATGTAACATTTTCATGAATTTAAGATGATTTAAAATTCATTGTGTCAAATTTAACCGCTATTTTCAATATAGATTATATGGTTGAAGGAAGAAAAAACTAGGTATTGTGATATATAATTTGTTGCCATTATTTGTTGAAATATAAGGCGGAAAAATCTCTGCCACCCGCAGCGTAGCCGAAATGTATTTCCTAAAGGCATAATGTATACCTAATTAAAGACGGCTCATTCAAATGTCTTTTTGATTATCAAGCCAGATAGATATATGTGGAACAAAATTAGATTTACTTTTGAAATCTGTTAGGAGTAGAAATATGTTTTAAGTATATAATACCAATAAACCGATATAAAGGCTAGTCTTTCAACTCATAAAAGAATCCAAGTATGCATTCATACCTCTTAAAATTCCTCAAGATTTAATACCCATAGGTAAACAAAGATTATTCCTGTGAGGTATGAAGAAAGGAGTGAAGTCCAAGTTGAATCAGGTTTTAAATCTCATCGTGTTGTGGAAGAAGAATTTTCCTCCAATACCTTCAACTGATGATTTGTAAATAACACACAGCTCAAGTTGAATTATTATTATTTGAACATTATGAGTCACTTATTGAATTTATTGAAATTATATGAATGCTGTTATTTTACAGATTGTCTCTTACTATCTCTGAACGACATCATTACTAGCTAGCATATATCTAGGCAGATTGGTAGATTCGTAGAACCAGCACTCAACTCATGGGGCAAGTTTACAACAGTATCACTGAAGGTTTGAATAATAGCATCACATAGATGATAATACAAAACATTAAGTTGGAGATACAGCATACAAATGCGAATTATTTCTGTGCCAAGTCAAGCGAGTGGCGGATATTCACTGTTTAATCCAAGTCCTGGTTGTATTGTGATCATAACAGCAAGTTCTAAGGTAAGATGTCAAAGTTTTACTTACCCACTCTACTCCCCAAACTATCTGCAAGGGATATAGTGAGGACCCTTGTGTGTCTGTCTGGGGCCTAGATCCTGGGTGACTGATTTTCTTCATTTGGTGGAAAGATGTATGTATGTAGTTGTATGTAAAAAATATTTTGTTCAAATTGGCTGAAAATGTGTACAATTAAAGAGAATCACTGTATGAATGTTCTATAGCATATATGCAAGATATGTCAATTTAACTTACTCGTACTCCCACTAATATTTGACGCTATTATATTTCGTGTTTTTGGCATTTTGAAATTTCGCGGCTATTATATTTCGCTAATTTTCAGTTTTTTGAAATCCCGCAGCTATTAATCTCTGCCAAAACTCGCGGAATATAGTAGTGGGCGAAAATTACCGGGAGTACAGTATTTAAATTTTTTGGCCTGACCCAACAGGGGCAAGTTTGCAACATGTGATAACAGGAACGCTGTTCATTTTTAGATCTGTCTTTATTATACTTAAAGGAAAGTTCTTTTTTGATTTGTGTCTGGATGTTGGGCATTTGGTGTTTAGCGTCTGTAACAAATGGCGGGTGGTGACATTAATAATATCTTGTTGTGAAGATTAAGGTGGCCTATAACCCTGTTTATTTTTTCGTGAAGCCACTCAGTAAAATTTTACCTTGGTGCAGAGTCTAGATATAAACTACCCTCTGCCTAGCATAGACTATATTACAGTTTAGCAACCCCATCCCCAAGATTACTACACTTTTGCATTTGTTCAACTTCTTAAAAGACAGCTTCGTCTTCACTCTTTCAGTTTACAATAATGTTCCTTGCTAAATAAGTAAGAAAGTCAGAAGTGTTTTTACAAAATATTAATATTTCTTTTTTATTTATTTTACATGATGTTATGATCTAGCTATGGAATATATCTACAATAAAGGTCAATCTACTTTCAATTATCAAAACTACATTCTTTCTTAGTATTTGTTCATTGTTTTAATGTACTGGTTAAAAAACTACCTGTATCATACTAAAAATCTGACTTGACATTTTTCTGAGGTATTTTTATACTAGTCAGTTATTCATGAATGGATAATATTACATGACACCTCCTGACCCTTTCAGCCATAAACTTGTTGGCTAATGGCAAAGTAAAGCCATAAACAATATTCATGAACTGTCCATTTGTTGGTCATTATTTGAGTTATTACTGTCATTGTTTGAGTCACTATTCTCATCATTGTCTTGGCTCTCATCATTGTTATCATCTGATTCATCTTCGTCTGAATCATCATCATCTGTGTAGAAATAATCATCTTCAAGATCAGAATACTTTTCGGCTATTTTTCTGATTCCCTCAACCTGGGCTGCCATCCGCATGGCATATTCATACATCACACATTTTAAACCAGTCATAATGGACAGATTCAGTCTTTGAGCATATCGTGACGATTCCTTCTTACGTTTTACAGCCCTTTGATATCGGACTTCAATCTGTTTTACACGATCATCGATCAGCAATAATTGGTCACATGCCCTGGAAAACTTTGCATGCGATAGTTTCAGTTCATCATGGAGCTGTCGCGGCTCCATCTTTTCAAATTTATCTTTGTCAAATGTTGCTGCATATTCATTGTTATCATTGTCATTAGCCGCTGCTGGCCCATTTGATGCGGCTGCAGACATAATGTTATATAATACTTCGTTGTATTATAGTTCTGTAGCAATGTATCGGTATTATAAATTGTCCCTATTACTTTTTAATTTCCAAATGATGTAATGTTTTTAGTTGCTATGAATATAAATGACGTAGTAAACAGTTCTGTATGTTTGTGTTTTGGTACATTCCTAAATCGTGTTGTCTAAACTATTAACCTGTTTAAAAAATGTCACTAGACTATACATCCATGCTTTATCAAGAAGAACTAGAAGGTTGTGTTGCTGAGCCACAAGTATTGAAATTCTTTCACAATGGTACTAAAAATCCTAGATGATACAGTGTTTTCATACTAAAATAGTTGATCTCCATTTAGCTTGTAGTTTCACTTAGAACCTGGAAATGAAATAATTGTTGAAATACTGTTTATTCATAGTTAAAACTAAGAATAAAACTCCAATTTATATTTGGCAGTATCTTATTTTCTCCCTCCATTTTGTGTACAATCATCATGGCTTCCCGCTCTACAGTTCAATGCAGTACACTTAACCTTTCACATATTACATTTAACTCTCATAAGCTGAAAACCAATAAATACCAATATGGATTTATATTGCATAGTTTGTGTATTTTTAAGTGTACATGTAAATGTATTATACATGCTGAGCTTTGCATGTGCTATTTATATTTACAATTCTATTGGATTAATTATTCAAAACTCACATGGAAGAATTTTATTGCACTATGTGTAATAAAACAATGAAAATTAATATTTGATTTAAAAAAATGATTAATGAGAAAAAATAGATTTTTAACCTAGGAATTTTGTTTTATGGTAAATAAAACATAAATTAAATTCTATTTTTTCTTTCTTTTTTTATTTTATATTAGCTCTATTTTTCCATAGTAGTCAGACTTAATCCAGTCCAAAAGTTGCCAATTCTGTCAGACACTTGTTAAGTTTGATACTTTTATGAAAGAGTAACACAGTTTTCTTGGGTAATTTTTTTGAATTTTGTACCATTTAAAATTTATAAAGTTATAATCATCTAAACATCTGCTCTATACTTTCAGGTAAAGAAAGGAAACATGTCTAAACAGGCTTATTAAAACTACTCATCAGAACGGAGAGACCCATTTTTCTAAGTGCAAGAATATTCACTCCGATTTACGATGTCTCATAACTCTCCATGGGCAAAACAGGCATCTGGCACTCCTTTAAGAAGGGTAAGTTCATAAGATAAGAATTATGAGGGTTATGTTATGGGAGGTTTTGGATATGGGGTGTATCCCTCGGGATATATAGATATCTTACTCGGGGCCCTGCTGGGGGTCTGAGGTAAGATAGCATATTTCATGAGAGACATACCCCATATCCAATATATATATATAATATATAGATATCTTACTCGGGGTCCTGGGGGTCTGAGGTAAGATATCATATTTCCTGAGAGTCATACCCCATATCCAAAACCGAGCATAACATAACTTATTTATTCTCTGACAAGTGATGTTTCATAAGTGAGAAACCCCTTACTTTAAATTCGTAGAGGTAAACTAAAGAGCTTTCAGTTTAACATCTATGTGCATTATAAATGATGGAAGAAACTGTTATTTGAACTACTTCATTCTATATAGGGCCAGGCACTTCTGTAAGATATTGTATAGCCGCTTAATAAATACTCATTTGCTGACTAATATGACATTGTAAATAAATCTAGTTTTGACTCAGACCACCCCCTCCCCCCCAAAACTAAATACCGTGAAAGTTGAGCGCTTACTTCCGGTTTGAGAATTTGAAAAATTATTGCTAAACACGATCTAGTTTTTGTTAATTCCTATTGTAATTTGCGGCTTTTAACAACTATTGATAGAATATAATCCATTGGAATGATCTTGACGAAGAAAGCATCAGGTAAAATCTTTATTTTTAAACCATTCCAAGGCATTCTGAGTTGAAATTGCCAAAAATTTGAAATGTTGAAATTTGTCGGATAGCAAACTGAAATGGGTTTGAACCCCCTCCCCCCCTAACTAGATTTATTTAGTTTTCTATCCGACATCGAACTTTTGATGCCTCCCCTAATGACATAAGGGAGTCAATAAAAGATATATACACGTATATTATGATTGGGAGGACAATTTCACCTTCTCTGGAAAAGGAGATCATTTTCCCGCTATTACAATGAAATAGATATCTCACTTATGACAAAATGCCGTTTCTATTTCAAAACAATTACCGTTCTCACAAATATTTTTGAATTATATTTAAAATGAGAACTCAACACTAGCAAACCATTTTCTAGAGTACAGAGTAACATAATGTGATTTCTGTAGCCAAATTTTTAGACTTGAGTAAATGTAGGCTGTTCTTTCTTCATTTTTAAAGTAACACTACTCGTATACTAGTTTATATCAAATATCCTGAGAATATTTGTTTTCTGATAATTTCTCTACTTTTGCAATTAGTGTTTTCAATCATTACATGATATTATCTTTCTCACATTGAGGATTAATGATTTAATTACTTGTCACACTATTTCTCGTTAGTAATATTCTTCACGACATTGCGTGATGAATAGGGCATGTTAATTATTAATGGTAAGATTTTAATCATGCATTATTGTGGAGTATAATGCAATCATCTTACATCAATATTTTCTCCAAATGTATCATGTATAAAACGTAGGAAATTGGATTAGTCCTGGTGATGTTGGGAGAATCATAAACACTGAAGAATGTCTCTAATTTCCTGAAGAATTTTTTACCAGGAAAGGTGTTGCTAATAAACACACTCTCGATTGTCATAGTTACCAAATAGCAATCAGCTTTACCTTAATCATGCAGTTTAGTCCAAGAATTGAAGTGGATTAGGATGCTTTATACGACTCAAACTGAGAATAAGAACTGAAGAAATTTTCAGATTATATGCAACATTCATATTTTTATTAACAATTTACATATGTCAAATTCACAACAAGATGGAAGAAGGTGCTCAGTAAGTTTGTATATGAAATAGAATTATTTAACTGTAGTTTATTTGAAAGGCTACATAAAATGATATTATAATCCATTTGGATGGAGCATTCTGAGTAATATATACTACTCTTAGATGAATAGTTTTGTCATACAGTCGAATGTCACATGGTACATAAGGATACACTTCTAAATAATTGTAATTGACCCATATTTCTCAGAGAAACATACCATGATATAATATAGTACCATGGATTTATATCCTAAAGTTGAGCGAGATTTTAAAAATTATCCCTATGTTGGTATTCCATTTTGCCATCACATGTTTACCTACTTTGTATGCATTCACAATAATAACTCCATTTTCCAGAAGGATATGTCGCCAGTGTTTAAGACGCCCATGACATTCAGTCCCAGGCTGGCAGGAGAACAGGCTAAACCTTCACCCTCAAAGTTTGAGCTGTGGAAAGAGGAACTAGGACTAGGTATGAAGTATATTAAACTACTGTATAATGTATAACTTAGCAAAATCAGTTCAGGTAACACAAGGGCAAGAACTACTCTATTGTAAATTCCCTAATTATATGTTTGAACCAGTTTACTTGAACCAATCTTTCATTGTATAATTGTTAAGTCCATATTCAGCATAGGTCTCAAATATTCTGTCATTTATGAGTTCTCCTTAAAATTCAAAATGGCCACTAGAAAACAAAGTCAGAAATATCTCTGATCATATCTTTGTAAGAATATTTGTATTACTTGGTATTAGAAATAGTGTCCAAAAGTATGTCTTATAATATTCAATTAAATTTATGAATCGTTCTTCAAAATGAGAAATTTTTGAAAATAAATATATTTATATAATGATTTGTATCTCTCTCCTCTTCTGCTTACAGACGAGGATGAAGAAGAGGAGGAAGCTAGCTCGGGATCAGAGGAGGAGAGTGATAAAGAAAATGATGAAGGTGAGAGAATAACTAAGGACATGTTGCAAATACAGGGTGTTCTGAAGAATCTTGGTTGCAATCTTCTGCAGAATTCTACTGAAAATATATGTAAAAATCGATTTAAATTTTTAACTTCAGCAATATTGACCATGTCTCTAGTATTTTTTGGGTTTTTAAACTCAACTATGGTTCAGTTTGATTCCGTTTGCAATGATTTTAAGATTATAAAGTAGATATGAATCATATGAAATCATTGAAAAATTAAGGATAGCAATATTAATATGTAAGACAATAAACTATAGGTAGAGGGGTAACCTTACATTAGATATTAGTTTGTTAATCTCAATCTTTTATGTAAATTCAAAATTGATGATGTTTGTCATGAAACATGGATGTACAGAAGTTTCAAACAGTGTTTAACTGTTTTTCAACAGTGATGTATGTGGATGTCATCATGCCGACCACCCTGTATTATATAATTCTACAAAACACTTGTGCTGTTTTATACTTGCAGGGAATTGTTCTATAGTAGAGTACCAGTCATTGAAGAAGGAGCTGGAGGAAAGGAATCAACAGAGGGATGAGCTTCTCTTTAGAATCAAAGTAGGTTTGACAAGTTATCATATACGCTCTCTATATGTGCATTTATAGTATAAGAGAGACACATAAAACTAAATTATACATATAATGAAATTGTTTTTATCAAATCATCTTAATATCAAAGTATCAATTGAATCTTGGCAACCTTAATGTGTATGCTTTTTAAATCTCTAAATGCCTTAGAGTTGTATTTCTCCAATGTAACATTTTACAAAACCTCTAAATTTCCAGACACTGTCCGATAAGAACAAACAATATAGGACGAGATTACAGAAGGAGGAGACCAACAAGAAACAGCAGATTAAGATCATGCGGAAGACACATGAATCACACTTGCAGGACAAAATGCTGTTGATCAGCAATTTAGAAGATGTTATACAGGAACAGGAGGCTAAGATCATGCAACTGGAGGCTGAGCTCATTGGTAAAAAACTATTGATTCTATCATGGTTCAGAAGTTAGCTTTACAATAAGATATATTAGGACTGTTTTTTTATGATTTTCCCTAAATTAAACTGGGTGAGGTACTTTTTCATGGGCATAGCATCCTGCTGCCTGAAAGGGAGGGGGTCTTGAGGGATAGAGATCAGTATTCACTGTTAAGAGATGTTGTATCAAGGGATTTGAAGCAGCAATTTTAGAACATTCCTTGCTCTGAAGTGTATTTGAATTATTCTTCTTAGTTCAAAACAGTGTTTAAAGTTTAAATATAAAAGTACCGATATTAAGAAATCAAGAAATTGTATATCTCAAAAGCAGTCAATTTTGGCTCAGGTGATACAAGCCAGGAGTCCAGGCGACCAATCTCAAGCACAGTTAAGCTGATAGAGCAGCTGAAACAGCATCAACAGGAGAAAGCAGACTTCATGGGGCAGCTGCTAAATGCACAGAATGAATTGGCAAACTTTAAGGACAGCCCTACAGCTTCAGGGGACACCCTCAAGTCCATAGTTTCTCGACTAGAGGCAGAGAATAAGGAGCTTCAAGAAGAGGTTGTTAGACTCGGTAGCATGCAGGTACAAACATTTTTCATTCCTATGTGGCTTATTTCTACACTCGCATGTTTTTTCTACTGTGGGTAATTTTTAGGTTTAGCAACAGATGTTCAACAAATACTCTGTCCTCTTGTTTTCAGTTTTAAAAGTTTCAAATTCTGTGAAATTTAGCTGAAGAAACAATATAGTACATGTAAGTGTCAAGAATTGGGAACTATGAATACTAAATAGGGCAAACCAAACTGTGATCCATTTGGGTACAATTTGATGGCCAGGACAACATTATACTTCTCTCTTAATATATGTTTTAGACACCATGGGGAAAATATTGCTTAATAATATATTTATATACTAACTACTTTCCACTCAAAAGTGAGAACAGATTTTGTATAAGGTGGAATGGATAAAAATAAGAAACCTCAAAAATCATGAATTTCTGAAAACAATTTTTATTTCATCATTCGTCTCACGGTTTATCAATTTGAGATGTCTCACGACAGCATATTGAAATGTTGAAAGCCTATTTTCAATAATCGTAGTAATCTTCTTCTTCATAATCTCTGTTGGTCATCATCATGCTTATTTCATACTTTTCCTTCTTCACTCTTGAAAACACACACACGTATCTGTAAGAAAAAAGAAACACATATGTACAATTTTGCACATGTATCTTGAATAATATAAAACAGCCATAAATCAGAAATAAAACACTGCCAATTATAAGTTATGAAACTCAGACATGTTTAAGTAAGACATTACAGTTACGTATTAAAATACATTCATATATACATTACATGTAATCTTATGTGAGAAATAATACATGCTGTCATGTGTCAAAAAATTTTACATAGCTCAAGTTTAAGGTCAAGTGACTTTTCCAGTAATTCCTTCCTTTTCTAAAGAAACAAGTGTACATTGGCTAGATTTATGTTGTCATAATGTACATCAGATGAAATGATTTACCTACCTGTGTTTCGAGACTTCCTTACCAGATCCAAAGAGAAGTGTTAATGTACCATGCATGTATGGAGTAAATTTATCACCAAGGATACCATTTGATGTTGTCACCTGTTCCCATCCCAAACCACCATAGGTTGTAAAAATACTTGAAGATAGCTGAAAAGATATTAAAGTTAAAAATACTTGAAAATAGAAATTACATTCCAGTTTGTACATTGTCAGAATAATGAGCATACTATATGTGATTCAATGAGTTATGAGAATAATGAGCATATAATTTATGTGATTCAATGAGTTATGAGAATAATGAGCACAATTAAGTGATTCAATGAGTTCTGAGAATAATGAGCATACTATATGTGATTCAATGAGTTATGAGAAATATGAGCATAATTTATGTGATTCAATGAGTTATGAGAATAATGAGCATAATTTATGTGATTCAATGAGTTATGAGAATAATAAGCATAATTTATGTGATTCAATGAATTATGAAAATAATAAGCATAATTTATGTGATTCAATGAGTAATGAGAATAGTAAGCATAATTTATGTGATTCAATGAGTTATGAGAATAATGAGCATAATCTATGTGATTCAATGAGTTATGAGAATAATGAGCATAATTTATGTGATTCAATGAGTTTTGAGAATAATGAGCATAATTTATGTGATTTAATGAGTAATGAGAATAATAAGCATAATTTATGTGATTCAATGAGTTATGAGAATAATGAGCATAATTAATGTGATTCAATGAGTTATGAGAATAATGAGCATAATTTATGTGATCCAGCGGGTTATGGGAATAATGAGCATAATTTATGTGATTCAATGATTTATGAGAATAATAAGCATTATTTATGTGATTCAATGAGTTTTTAGAATAATGAGCATAATTTATGTGATTCAATGAGTTATGAGAATAATGAGCATAATTTACGTGATTCAATATGAGTTATGATGATCATTGGAGATCTTCACTATCTGGAAACAGTTCTGAGGAATATGAATTTCAATTGAATCATATAAGAATCACATTAGAATTACAAACTAATCAGGAAATGGTTCAAATATCAGTTGTTTCTGTGAAAGTGATTTTGTTAAGTATTTAAACTTAAAATTTCTATGCAGGATCCCAGCACAATAGTAGTACAAATAAGGCTTGCATTATAGATCTGGTAAATACTAAATACTCATACCTTTTCTTCCTTTAATTATCTCCTGTGAATCCAGTATCAAGATTGCATCCTCTGTAAATTTCTTCGAAAATTCCTTCCATGTGTCTCTTTTGTCTTCGTTGAACATAAGATCCATAAACACTTTGCAATTGTTAATTGCACTGATATCTATCATTTAAAAAAACAGGCAAAGTGATTCAATTTGATGAAAACTAAAACTATTGAAATTGGCACTTAATTACTGGACACCATTTTGAAAGAGAGGGACCTTTGCCTGATAATGACTCATGTATTTATGCATGCTGAACTCTCAACTCTGAACCAAAAGATGAAGATCTGAAGTTCGCAGTCCTGCAAATAAAGTTTCACGCTCGTTTACAAGCAGAGGACATTTTAAGATAAAATGAGAAGGTCTAAAATCTTCACCATCTTCTGTCTGGTTATTGTGTTGAAGTAATTATTTTTTGTTTTATATCTTGTTGCATAAATGTTGACATAAAGGCTATTAAACTCCAATTACATATTGATTGACTCTGAGCACTAAAGATTAATAATTAGATGTCAATATTTTGAGGATTATTGGATAGATATTTGGAGGGGAGTTTTGTAAAATCAAGTTTATTGAAATGTCTTGGAGATAAGGTTATCTGTTTTTAATGATTCTGAAAACATTAATTAAAAGAGTGTTTGTTCAAAGAATGCATATACAACAGCCAATATAAATACTTGTGTTAGAACCAACTACTTTGTTTCATTTGGAGTATATTTCATATGCCAAGCTGCGTACTAAAATGTTATGGGGAAATTAAGATGTCATTTTTTCCTTATTATACACAAATAGCACACGTCAAGTAGACCATTGTTGCCTGATTTATAGCAAAAACATTGACTTTTGCACGTAAGTGATTATGCGCCTTTTTTATTAGATCTCACATCTTAGAAGCGTATCAGTTCAAAAAAAATGCTAGAAGACCTTATATATTTTTCCATGCACTGTGCCTATTCATTTGGCAATTCAGTTGTAAATTTTCTCTTGAAAAAATAAAACTTCGAAATTTGTTGAGTTTTCTTGCAGAAATTGCCCACTCCCCCCTCCATCCATTTTGTACGATCACTGGATGTGAATAGAAGATCATGAAACTTCACCCATAAATGTGAAATTGATTTGTCAAAATAAAATCTCCCTTTTATAAATGTGTGACGATCTTTAATATACTTATGCTATTGTTATACTCTTGTGGATGGTGGTTCGTGTTCAGTGGGCGGCAGAGCCTGTAATAAATTTTTACAACTTCCAATAATTTAAAAAATATATAAGACTGGCTTCAAATTTTATTGTAAATATATCTAAACATCTAATGAGTTGTAACACATTTCTGCCAACATCTGTTACCATGGTAACATACTGAAGGTCAAAAAAGGTACTTTTAATCTTGCTTCAAATTGACAATCTTTTTCAAAATCATCTACAAGTTCTCAGAAGTTCAAATCCGACTCTAGCTTTGACCTTTGCTTGACCTTCATCTGTTACAATTGTTACACTTAAGTAACCATTTAAGGTGGTGACATTTTGTCATGTTAATGTCTTGTATATATTTTAGAATGGTTAAAAATGAGAAAAAATCATGAAGCTTTAAACATAATTTTTTATTTCGTCATTGCTTATTCTCAAACAGTTCATGAATTTGAGATTGTCTTACACCACCATATGGCGCCTGTTAAAAGCCTATTTTCGATAATCGTAATCTTCTTCTTCATAATCTCTGTTGGTTATCATCATGCTTATTACATACTTTTCCTTCTTCACTCTTGAAAACACACACACGTATCTGGAAGATGAACACAGCCATGTACAATTTTGTACTGTATCTTGAATAAAACACAGCTATAAATCAGTAATAAAACACATAGCCAATTATCAGTTATGAAACACAGACATGTGTAAGTACTAAGTAAGACATTACAGCTATCTATTATTAAAATACCTTGTATCAGGAGAATACATGCTGTTATTTGTTATAAAATTATACAAAGCTCATGTGACCTCTCCACTAATTCTTTCCTTTTCTAAAGAAACTTGGGTATATTGCCTAGATTTGTGTTGTCAGATTAAACACATCATATGAAATGATATAATATTCAATGTGTGTTATGATAACATACCAGAATGGTTTGATAAAGTTTGATAAATCTTAATTAAAGATACATTTTAAGAACCTACCTGTGTTTCGAGACTTCTTCACCAGATCCAAAGAGAAGTGATACTGTACCATACTTGTATGGACAAAATTTGTTACCTAGGATCCCATTTGATGTTGTTATCTGTTCCCATCCCAAACCACCATAAGTTTGGTAAAAATACTTATAGATAGCTGAAATTTTTTTAAAGTGACATTTTAGTTGGTACAAAATTGTCAGAATTAATGAGTATAATTTATGTGATTCAATGAGTTATGAGAATAACCCGTGATATATTCGCGATCAATACCCCTGGTAATACGTGTAATGTGTGACGTCATAACGGTGGGTCGTAGTAATGACGGACCATGATGAATATTCGAAACATTTTGGTGAGTTTTCATGTTCGAATCGTAATATAGACCTCAGAGCAGGGGTACTATCGTTAAATACACCCCTTAGGGCTAGGCACAAAAGCTTTCGAAACCCTCACTCCCTTCGGTCATTCGGGGTACAGAAAACGTTTGTGCCTAGCCCTGCGGGGTGTATTAGACAATATTACCCCTGCTATTTGGTCTATATTTCTTAATTATTAAGTATTGTGAAAATACTAGTTGTGCAAGTCACAAAGAAAAAATGAGCCAAGAGTCAACCAAAAAATGCATCTTTTGATGTCTTAAATTAATTTTCAAACATCTAATTTAAAATAAGTTGTAATATTGTTGGCTATTGCGATTTAAAACAGACTAAAGCAAGTTGCGATTATGGACCTTAGAGTCAACTGTTATTGCACCACTAGAAAATACATGTTGATATTTTAACTTGGCGGGGTTGTTCATTACATGTATATTTGCATCTTAAGTATGCCAGCACAACTATAGTGCAAAGACTCACCCTATAGATTTTGTAAATAGGTATTAATATACTAAAACCTTTTCTTCCTTTAATTATCTCCCGTGAATCCAGTATTAAGATTGCATCCTCTGCAAATTTCTTGGAAAATTCCTTCCAGTTGTCCATGTTGAACATAAGATCCAAAAACACTTTGACACTGTTACATGCGCTGATCTCTATAGTTAAAAAAAACATAACTTGATATGGTTGAAATTTCAACTCCCAGTGTCCACAGCAAAGTGGTTCAATGTGATGAACTAAAAACTAAAACTATTGAAATTGACACTTCGCATCTACCATTTTGAAAGAGGACCTTTGCCTGATATTGACCAGTGTAATCATTGAATATCTAGGATATTTAAAGATCTAATAGCCAAAAAATAGATATGTGTTTGTAATATTGGTATTAAGATTAAAAATTGTCACTATCACTTTCATTTTTGAACAAATATAGGGTCACATACCGCGGGGCAGTTAATTTTGATCTACCGTAGACCATATCACCATCAAATTGCCGATATTTCAACCTCGTGTTGCGATGCTATTTTAATTTGAAACATCTTGAATTCAGTGTCAAAATAAAGCTGGTCACGCCCACTTTCTATAGTTATCAATCAATCATTTACTATGACTACTATATTCATTCAGGAGCCGTGTATAGTTAACCAATCAGAGAGACAAATGTTCCATATATGGCAGTTCATTAACATGTTCAGTGTTTACTACTGCCTTTCGCGTCATGACAACACAAGTAGTAACCAATCAAGATGTCATATTTTATCACACGAGTTCAGAGTGATATGCACACAACATGTATAGTCTGAGCTGATCATGATGATGAACAATTTCTTCTCGGAATTTGTCCAGAGAAATCAACGATTTTAAATTTAGGTAGAATCTGCCATTTCTTCCTGTACAAGTTATAACTTATCTTTCGAATCCTAAAGTTTTGGATGAAGATATGAAGCGATTTATTTGAAGATCTGATTTTGCATTTTGCAATAGCCAATTTATTGCAAGTCTGCATGTATTTGACAAGAGATAGCGCCAAGTATTGTATCTAAATGCTTGTTAAACCACTCGAAAACCAGACCCATATTTTTAAAATTACATAACTTTGCAGAAAACCTGTATTATAACCTGTTTTCCGAGTCCAATTCAAACTGAGTAATAGGGTCACTGGGATTCTGGCTTATGTACCAAGATGATCTATTTGATCATATTATGTCATCCTACTTTTCTAGGGAAGTCTTAGCTTTTATTACAAACAAGGAAAACCAAATTCTAAAATTTTCATAATTCCTCCGATGCATAATCGGACCCTAATCTTAAGCAATGTAATACAATCACTTTCATCAGCTTAAACCTACCATCAGTAGTCAATTCCATTTTTTTCTTTATTCCACCAGCACATAATGTGAGTCCCAATATGAACAGAAATAATCCTAAAATCTTTGCCATCTTCTCTTTGGTTATTGTATGTTGGAGTATTGGTTTTTGTTCTGTAATTTGTTTTGTATACTGGGTATAAAGGCTATTAAACTCCAATTAAAATTTATTGACCCTGAGCACCAAAGAAGCATGGCAATTAATCATTAAAATGTCAATATTTGATAGATATTTGGATATTTGAACATGGTTAAGTGAATTTACTTCAAATTATTTTTTATCCTACTGAACAAAGTGCGCCTTATAGGTGTAAGACTTCTGCTCCATAAGTAAGTTTCGATATGACTGCTCAATTCAAAATGGCTAGCATTTTTTATAGAAAAATGTAGTTTTGATAATATATCTCTTTTGATCTGGATGTTGACTAATTCATCTTATCTGTAACTGCGGAACGTCGGTAAACTTTTATACACATACCATGCTGAATATTTTTGTTGTATTTATTGATGTCAGGCTATTATATGTCTAACTCCATGGATTATGTTTGTATGGGACGAAATTAAAACGTAGACAGGAAGTTAATTTTGTGACTTTTTCATAAAATAAACAGACGTTTTCTCCAATATTATTTGAAATAAAGAATAAGGGATTTTAAATGGATTCTGCTAGAGCTCGAACTCGCATATGTATTAGGGCTACTGAGAACCATATTATTTTAAGGAATTCAAATAGGATATCTTGAAAGCTGAATTTCAAAATGGCTGCCATTTTTATCATATGGAGTCAGGTCGTGATTATAAAATTCAAAATCAAACAGCTGCCTTTTTTTCACAGAATTTGAATCGGGAGTTTTGGTCTTATTTACAAACAAATAAATTTGTAGAATTATGAACCTCTGTGGGTTGGTTATGATTATCAACCATAGCTCAATCAAGAAAATGTCTGATGACATAATCAAAATCACTAGTTTATTGTTGTTTTTTGATAAAGTTTGAAAAGAGTCCAAGTAGGCACCTTTTGTAAAATATAAATCCAAGTTTTCGATATTCATCTGTATATGTATGTTGTAGTAAACTCTACTTACTTTTGATAATTGTCTCAGTATACATGTATGTCATTATATTTTTTTTATTACTTTTATGGCAGGATTTTTCTTTTAAACCATGATGGGGCCCCCGATAGGTACTTTGAAATGTAAAATTGTTTCGATTAAGAATGTCCTTTCCCTTTTGATACCCCATCAATTTCATGTTATCTCAAATAAAAACCTTGGAAAATCATACATACTGTCACTTTGAAAAAAGGTTCACTGTGGAACCTACTCAATCTGACTGTTCAATCCTTATATGATATTTTATGTTTTAGAACATGAAATCTATATGGCTTATGAGATGTATTTTTCATAGATTGTAAACACTTCTATGTACAAAATCTTGAAATAAATAAAAAGAATAGAATAGATATCCATTGCGAGATATCACAACCTTCTATTGGTCAATTTCTATAAGGTTCTAGTTTGGAGACAGAAATATATGATGAGTATAGGTATGATCAATTTCCCGACTAACCAGGATTGTTTTATGTTTGTAGAACACAGGGACCACTGACACTGAAAAACAACTACAGAAGCTGGAGATAGAAACTGACCAATTACAACAAGAACTCAGAGAAGCTAGGAATATAAAACCTCAAGTCATCCGTGAGATACAGACAGACACTGCACAGATAAAGGTTTTACACATTATAAACTAGTTTTGAATCTACTTCTATGATTAATCACTTTTTGACAAGTAATATAATATATGTTTTAGTTCTAATTCATTAATTGATAAATGATGTACTTTGTGTCAAATACAAACATTTAGTATTAATTATGCAGAACATAGAATATAACTAATTAACTTCAAAATCATATGAAACATTTTAATATTACAATAATTACTGTCTAGACTATGATTTTTCCAAATAACACGGGAATTCAGAGGACTCTGTTTTCTTTATTGTATACCAATTCACAAACATACCAGCAAACAGCACAGCCTTTTATACAAAATGAGGAATGTTCTGCCAAAAAGTCATAATCCTATGAATGCTGTGCAAACTTTTTTTCTGAATTTGAAATTGAGTCTAGAACATCATGCACAAGAGGATCAAGATTTAATCCAATAGAAATAGTACTTTATCTGTAATTTCAGTTGTTCATAATCATTAAAGATATCAAGATATTTTATTTTTAGCGACTGGAAACTAAGATCGATGACCAGCAAAAAGAAATATTCCGATTAGAATCTGAGCTAAAATCGAGATGTACAGAGCTAAAGCAGGCGGAGACAAGGCATTATGGGAAGTTACAGGGTGTCTCAGAAGAAAAGTCAAAGATAGAGAGGGAGCTAAGACAATTGAGAGTTGAGTTGACAACATTACAGGCTAAACCACCAGAGGTATGTTGGTAATAGCTTAACAGTTTTAGTTATTTCAAGTATTTATTTTTACGCGTTTTTTAAAAAATGTTAAGGTGATGTTCAAAATTTGATAACAGTTGTTACTTTCCTCCACAGTGATTTAATTATTTTTTGATTCTAACTAATCTTAATTGAAGAGATGAATACAAAGATAGAGATGTTCAGAACCTCTCATCACACCCCCCCCCCTCAAGTTCCCTCCCCAGAGTCCAAGCTTCCTGTCATATTATAAAGCATTTATTTGCAGGTGGTCACCAAGATAGAGAGAGTGGAGGTGGAGTCTAAGAAAGACAGAATATCACTGGAGAAGTCCATTCAGGACAACACAAAGCTACAAGGGGAACTGTCAGAACTGCAACAGTTATATAAGAATAGTCAGGCAAAGTTAGTCCATGAACAAGGAGAGGTGAAGAAGCTTAATACAAAGGTAAGAATAAGAGACTTCTGACATATTTTATTGAATATCTGAGATATTTAATCATTATAGAATTTTTTATTATCAATATGAAAGTTCTGAGGAACCTGGACTATATTTGAATCTATTGTCTTACATTTTTTCAGTAATATAATGTTTTTAATGAGTATACTGTACTGTACTGCACTGCACTGCTAGATGTGTTGACATATTGTTATAGTCTCCACCTTTTTGAGGATGGCAATTGGTGTTTGGTGGTTGATGTTTGGCATCAACATCTATAACTAATGACAGAGGTTGACATTTTCATGTTAATGCCTTAAATAGTGATATTTTTCTGAATTTCATTTCAGCTGGATGACTATGGCAAAGAGATGCAGTTAGTCCAACAAGAGATGGAAGCAGAGATCAATAGATGTCAACAGGAGAAACAAGAAGCTGTACTGAGAGCCCAGAGACAAGCAGACCAAAAAATGGAAACACTCAATGCAAACTTTACAAAGATGAAAGTAAAGTTGTCTTTGATGACTCCAACGATGAAGGATCTGATGAAGGACTACACACAGTTGAAGAAACAGTGTGAGAACATGCCAAATGTCATAAAAACAGCAGTGAAACAGACAACCAAGGAAGTGAGTTGAATTTGTTTAGTTCATGTTGACATATTTATCATCACCCATGGTTTTTCATACTATTGTAGATTACTTATAGCTTTTACAGAGCACAAAATTATTGGACGGAAGTAATTAGAGAATTTAAATTGTGTTTACAGATGAGAGTACAGCACAAAGTTATTTGACCCAAACGCTGAATTTGAATTACTTTTGAAAAATGACAACTGTGTTTACTTTAATTTCCAGATAAGTAAATCTATATCTGACATAAGTGAGCACAATCAAGAACTAGTCAAGAAGTATAAGAAGGAGATGGCTCTCAGAAAGAAATACCATAATGAATTGGTAGAACTAAAAGGTAAGAGAAAAGTCTTATTTCATTACCATAATTTGATTGAACATATTTCCTAAAATCCTATATTTCTGAATGTTCAAGAAATCTCCTTGCCCTATTTTAGAACAAACAGGATATAAGTTGGAATTCAAGCATACTCAGAACCTTTATTCTAATTATTAATGCATTGTTATTTTATTTTAATTTTCAGGCAATATAAGAGTTTTTTGCAGAGTCCGTCCACAAATCAAAGAAGATGGGAGTGGCCCACCAGCAACAAAAGCGATTGGCTACGATCAAGATGATGATTGTGTGCTATATGTTGCGAATAAAGGTCGAACTCAAACATTTGAAGTGGATAGTCTCTTTACAGAAAAAAGTACACAAGTACAGGTAAGCTTTGTGTACAAAGAAATACTTTTTTCTTATTTTTTATTTACTTCTTTGCACTTACCTGTGTTACAGTTAACATCATAAGGACATATAGATTTAAATGTGCTTTATACTAATTTTTTATATACAAGATGACCTAACAATGGGATTTTGACCTCCGAGGCCACAGCATAATGGTGTACATCAGACAATCTTACATTAAAAAAATTCAAAACTCGAAATTTTGTGCAATAATATTAAACCATTTCTGAATGACATACAAAAGAAATGATTGACATGATACATTTTCTAATGATCAGTAATAATATTATATATGTACTGTAATGAATGTATTTTTATTACTTTATTACTATTCCTTTTGTAATTGTATAGTTGTAATATCTTATGTATTGTTGGATGTATGTTTGGCCCTAGGGCATCAGTACAAATAAATAAATCCTTTATTAATGTCAGACTTTGAGAAGCTTGAAATATGAAAACTTATGGATTGATTTAAAATAACAAGGGTTACAATGGAAGACCCAGATACTGTTTTGGGTTGACCCAAATACTGAAATAGTATGACACTCATTTCACTCATTTCAATTGAATCCTTGAATTCAATGTTTGATTGCAAATTGATATGATATTTATTGGTTTTATTGTCACTGTGGCTGTTCATGTAGCAAAACACAAAACATGTAGGAAGCATTAGTGCTTATTAAATATGAATTATCATAAAAACCAATTGCTGCAATTAATGGAATCATATATCTTACATTTTTAAGGAGCTTAGCTGGCTAGAATTTGTAGTAATTTACTCATATGTGCAGACCATATAGAAAAGCATTACAATGTGTTTGAGTTATTGTAATATAATGGCAGTGGTTTATTATTATTATGTTACATCAGTGTATATTTAATACAGTATTTATTATTTTGTAGGTGTTTAATGAAGTACAGCCACTGGTGGTATCCTGTCTTGATGGCTATAATGTTTGTATATTTGCATATGGACAAACTGGCTCTGGCAAAACATACACCATGGAAGTAAGTGATATAAACATTTTAGAGAATATAAACCATGAAATGCTCATATTGTATGAGCTATTTGTTTCAAGAGGAAAATGAAATATAGAAGTAATAATGAGGCTGTCCAAGCTCCTATGAAAAAGTAAGAATTAACTGAAAGAAGTATTATATGAACTAAAGATTGGTGTCTTGCACTATTAGGGCATAATGTATGTTAGTCTTCCACCAAGTTTCTGCCACTATTTTCTGTGATTTAAGGGGATCAGGCAGATCAATATTTGGCAATGCCCATATCCCCTAACTTTCCTGTTACATCATTCTATGTGTTCATTGTCTGCAGGGTGTATATGGTGATGCAGGCATCAACCAGAGGGCGCTGACAGAGCTATTTACAATCATAGAGGAACGGGGCGTTGAGTGGCAGTACACTATCTCAGTGAGCGTCATGGAGATATATAATGAAATGCTTAGGTTGGTATGAAGTCTACCTACACAGCTCTGTCCCCCCCCCCCTTCTACTTGACTATACACCTTCTCACACTTGTTGTAATGGGAGGGGGCCACAAGGGCTTGTTACACTGCTACACATTGTGACCATATTGTTGTATTGCATGGCTTAAAGTCTTCAGGAATTTCAGGAAATTTCAGGAAAAAATTGACCAAAATCTGACCCCATTGAGTTCAATACAAATCTGGATTTATTTCTAGGGGGGAGAATGGGGTCAAGCAAGGGTTTCAAAATTAGTGTTATAATTTTCCTATGAAAACACTTTTTCCTTCAAATTTGAAAGTGTATGTGGGGTCTACATTACTCGAAAAAGCCCTCAATCAAATCTCATTTTTCCAAAATTTCTTGGAGGGAGGACCCGCCAAAACCCACCGCTTGCTTGGCCTCGTCTTTCGTCATTAAATTTTCAGGAAATTTTAAATTTACTGCTTTAAGCCATGTGTATTGTATTGTTGTATTGTATTGTATTGAATTGTAGGGATCTATTGAGTTCTGACCCATCTTACAAGATGGAGATTAAACGCAACCAAGATGGCAGCCTTTATGTTCCTGGCCTCACTACAGTCCCAGTCTCATGTTTAGATGATGTCAATGAGGTATGTAGTAGGCCTACCTACAGAACGATTGCATAAATGCATCCTATTGATTTAAAATGTTGGCCCTTATCTTACCTTAACTTATAAAAATCTCTAACAACATAAATCATTTATTCTCATGCATATGTTGATAAAACTCCATTGGTAACAGGGAATGATTAAGATAAGAATTAGTCTAATATCCCAATGTTGATTAGAGAAGATGCAATTGATCATATCAAAATTCTGCAAGCCAAAATTTGAAATTCTGAAAAAATTCTGCATTTTATCGCGTCATGTTTTTACGGCATTTTTGTCGATATAGTGTGAAAATCAAAATAAAACTGCCATATTTTTCTATACATCAATTTGAACATCAGATGTATATAGTAACAATATAGAGAAAATGTATTGGCCAACAGAAATTCAATAAACTGCATATTTTTTCAAAACTAAAAATTCTTCATTTTTTCTGCTGCAGCGTGGAAAACGGAATTTTAGTAGCTCTGATACATGGATAGCATTAGCCATAAGACCTCATTCACCATGGTATCAGGGTTGTAGTGACTATAAAAAGAACATTGCAGTCTACCTGTTTATCTTGTACAGCCTCGCTTTAGAAAGAATATGAACATTTGAACTGCAGTACTGCCCTCTTTATATAGTTCTAAAAGCCTTGCATTCACCATATACAGGGTTATTCATAGCCTTGCCCAAGTCGGTCTTTTTTACTATCTTGATTTCTATTATGACCGCCTTGTACAAAAGAGAAAGCCACGTGCTTTACCGACTCAATGTTTATGTCGGTAAAATTTGACCAATCAACGACGGCCCTGCAGCGTTAGCTCATTATTATGCACGGTCAAAAACAAGTACACTTTTTACTTTTCGCCGGGACTTTTCACGAACAAATCTTGCATGAATTCATCATGTATATTTTATCAGATAAATATCAATCAGAGTTTAGTGGATGCCGGAGCATCGATCGGTAACCGGAGGTGAGAAGATTTCGACAATAAACGTTGAAACGATCGCTGAATTCAAATGAACATGTAGGCTGAGATTCAATCACTGATCGACTACCTACATGACCCGCTACATTGGACTCGGTCTTGTATTTTCATCGCGAAATCAGTTTTAAATCTATTGCATGATTTAATTTATATTAATGACTCTTAAATTCCCTATGTCCGTTTGATTAGATAATATATTGTAACTCTAAAGAAACGATCGATCAGATCATTGAATTTCAAATCGGGAAGATTGCTTTGCTTATGCAGGTCAACCTGATAACGTTTTGTGATTGGTCAATCAGCCTGAAGTCACACGTCGTGTCCACGCGTATATCTGTTAATCAATAAGGTTTCGCGATACCCCTGATAGCGTAGGTATTATGGAAATCTCGAAACCGTTGAATAACTCTGCATAATATCAGCGCAGGTGTATTGGATTGTACAAGGCGGTAATAATTCAAGATCAGATAAGTAAAAAAATGCCGACTTGGGCAAGGCTAGGTTATTCATTATTTCTTAAAATTGCCACAATATATTGCACATCTCCATGGGAGTTGTTCACCACTGAATGTTACATATGAATTTCAGACATTTGCCTTGGGAAAGACCAACAGAGCTACAGCCACCACTAACATGAATGAGCATTCCTCCCGCTCTCACTGCTTGCTATGTGTCACAGTGACTGGGGTCAGTAAGACTACAGGAAAGAAATCAATAGGTAAACATATTACTGAAACACCTGCAATATGTAAAACCAAACACATCAAGAACCGGAAAACCTAATCACAGATATTAATCATAAGACCATTCCAATCTTGAAATGGAGAAGTGGTTTGATATCAGGTTTGAGCCATTAAGGAAACCTTTACCTAACTAAGGGAAATAAATAATCAAGTTGATAAGACTTCACCATTCGTATTCCTCATCAAACACCAGTATTCTGCAAAATGGAAATTCATTTGGAAAAGAAGCAAAACATTAATGCAATTCCAAAACATACAATAGAGAATTTATATTTCACCCTAAAAAAATCCCAAATATCCCAGAGTTATTTATCATTTTAGGAAATAATTCATCTTACTTATCATAGTGTATTGAATTTTGATTTTTATTATCTGTAGGGAAACTGAATCTCATAGATTTGGCTGGATCTGAGCGGATTAGTAAATCTGGAGCAGAAGGTTCCAGATTGAAAGAGGCTCAGAGCATCAACAAATCTCTGTCATCACTTGGTGATGTAATACATGCTCTGAGGAATAAACAGGGACATATCCCCTACAGAAACTCCAAACTTACCTACCTCTTACAGGATTCCCTTGGTGAGTTTTGTCCTTAACATTGAAAATGGTTTAATGTAAACTGGACCACGATGTAAGACCTAACACAATGTACAACATATGCAAAACATCAGATGATATGAAAACAGAGCCGAAAACAAATATATGGTATCTCCTTAACAATATTTGAAAAGTATTATGGGGCATTTGAAGATGATGAAATGTTTATGTTAATGTATTTCCTTACATTTCAATGATGTTCCAGGTGGTGACAGTAAAACTCTGATGATTGTCCAGGTGGCACCAGTTGAGAAAAATGTTGGAGAAACTATATGTAGTCTGAACTTTGGCCAGCGTGTGCGAGCTGTAGAGCTTGGTCAAGCTAGCAAGAAAACAGAGAGTGCTGAGGTGACAGAGCTGAAAGAGAGGCTGGCGTTGTATGAGGTGTGTTCATGCGCCTTTGTCAATTTTTATCCTAGATTTATAGGTTCTATTATATTGTAGACATGTTCAAAGGTACTGTCATGTTTGAGATTTATACAAAATTCACTCACTTGCTTTTACCATAAAAATGATATATTCGTGAAATGACACAAAAACCGTAGTAAAAAGCATCCATAAATAGATGTTTCCATGTTTTGGCCTGGATTCGCTCATGAAATATAGTCGAGGAGAGGATAAAAAGTACAACTCCGCTAAATTCAATTCTGTAAATAAACCTTAAACATAATTTATTCCTCTATTCCAGGACAGTCCAGTAAGCACCCTTGGTAAAGGCAGTACTCCATCCAAGGTTGCCAGGAGGAAGTAGAACTATCACTCTTTAAGAGTCCCAAAAATATAGCAAATGTGGCATTCCATTTTGGCAATGACAAGGCAGTAGATGAACACTTAAGACTTTAAGATAGTAGAGGTCTGCATGATGAGTGGAAATACAAAGCAGATAATACCAATGCAATATAATGTTTATTGCAGTAGACCAATGACAGAAAGTATTTGGCTGATTTAAGTATTTGATCTGTTAGTTACATGAAATGATGTCAGACTTGTCATGACTTTAAAGTTCTGCACGTGTATCCAAGATAATGAATTAACTACACATATTCTAATATAAATTGCGGGTTTTTGTGAGACTTCAACAAATTTAAATGTTGCATTAAAAATTAAATAAAGACCAATGACAGAAAGTATTTGGCTGATTTAAGTATTTGATCTGTTAGTTACATGAAATGATGTCAGACTTGTCATGACTTTAAAGTTCTGCACGTGTATCCAAGATAATGAATTAACTACACATATTCTAATATAAATTGCGGGTTTTTGTGAGACTTCAACAAATTTAAATGTTGCATTAAAAATTAAATTGAGAATCACAACTTTTGAATGGTGTCCATAAAACATTTTTGTCAGTTCTGTATGCTACAGATGTTTGTTTACTCACATCAGTGAAGCATTAAGGACATGTGAAAGTCTGAAAAGTTGTCTTTGGGATGAATGTGAAATAAGTGTGAAGTAGAAATCATAGTGGCAAGTGCACATTAATTTTTACATGATATGTACAATGAATATATGACTTGGTAAAATTGCAGTAATAAATGATGTATGTTATATTAAGTAAACACACACTTCACATGATGACAGTATAATGTCTGTATTTAGATATGCAATAATGGCTCAAATGCACAATAAGTAAAAGTAGTACAGGTTGACCCAAAAATACAACTCTATTTTTGGTATTACTTTGTCAATAAGGATGGAATCCTCTTGATTTTCCACATGTACGTACATAGGATGTTTAATTAAAGAAACAATGGTAACTCATACTCATCTACCAATTTGACAAATTGTTAAAAAACCTGGGGATTGAAGTTTGGTTTATCTTTCATCAAATTCAATACAGAATATGAGTGGTATAAATAATCTTGTACATCAAAATTTTAAATTACAAATTTTCCCATTCTAGTAAGAGGTTGAGATTCACTTGCGTCCTTTCATATAGTTTACACAAGATAATCAAACTTACAGTTACAGGGATTTTGATTTATTCATGGGTTGCATGCTTGGGGTCACCCTGTACTTGAATATGCATTTATATAATGACAGAAAGTTGTAGAGTCTCACCTCTATGTCAATATTTATCACAATATCAATCAACTTTTCCTCGATCTTGATACAGCTCAGTTGGCTTTTTGGTGTACATACAGTAAGTTGAGAACTTGGTAAAACAATGCTATTTTTCTATTTAAGTATTTTATTTAGTGTAAACTATAGTGATTCAAGTGCTTAACATTTTGGCATAATATCATGTTCATAATCTTACCCGCAGTGATCACAATCAACACCATCTATCCTATACAAATATATGTACATGTATATATATTTTTGAAACACATATTTTTTCTACTTTGTTATACTAATGTTTCTTGAGCTCCATAAGGCACCCAGTCACATAGGCGTAGCCAGGGGGGGGTGCGATGGGTGCACCCCCCATAACCAATAAAATATAACCATGAGATAGAAGAAGGAAAGAGCTTTAAAATGCTTTTCATTTGAAGCTTCTAGCTCAATTTTGAAGGAAGTTGCATCAATTTTTGTAAAACTCAAGATAAATCTTAATTTTTAGGCTTGTTTATGCCACAATAAACAAGCCTAAAATAATTTTTATATAAAAAACGCCCCTGCAGTCATAATAAAAATCCTTCCTGAAGTGTCGCGAAGATTGTTGAAATCACTTAAAACGTGCTCATTCTTCAACACCTGTTGTTGCATTGGAAGTTAAAATCTTGAGCGAATAACTGCTTTTGGGTCATGTTTCTTGGAATTATCAATCAGTGTATAGTACGCATTGAATAATAGGTATAAGATAGATGGTGCTGACTGAGTCAATGATCAAAAGTTGATGTTTGAAATGTGAATTTGGATTTCAGTTTTATTCTAATGAAATAATGAGTTGTAATGCGATTTTAATGATAAATAACATATTTATGAATATTAATTTATGATTAATTACAATATTATGAAAAATCCAATTGGCAGTCAATATTGATTGTAAGTTGAAATATTGACATGATTTATACAATAAAGATTATATCATCATACATTGTGTTATGTTAACATTTTTTAACCTAAGATTCTAAGATCAAGAACCTGGGAAGGATCATTTATTTTGATAAATTTCGGACCCTCTTCAGGAGCCAATACATAGGGGAATAAAGAATTAATTTTCACCAAATGGCATTGTCAACTGTAAATAGATGGCACCATAAAGCACAATGCAGTGAGTTAGATTGCATATATAATTTTGTACATGTATTCTATTAATTAAGAAGATTTATAGGCCAAAAGAAATCCATTCTATGTTTTGCATGCATGATTTTGAGGAGTTGGAAAAAATAAACGCAATGGATCATTTTCTCTATGATATATAGAGATGGATAAATAGATGGCAGCATGTGTGTTGATAGGGCCAGAATACTATTCATAATATATAGACAATTGGTAAAAATCACTTAATTTCTTGATTCATCTCCATATGGATTTATGTGAAACTCCATTGGCATGTTACTATGTTATCTTGACATGTGGATTCCAATTTAACATTAGAATTGTGAAATAATAAATAAACTTTAAAAATATTTTTTCAAACATTTTGTCAGTACGGATTTAGCTCAACCTTTTTCAGAAAATTTCAAAATCAAAGTTATTTTAATAGAAAATTACACACAGTATTCAAATATCACATCAAATGTTGGTCTTCAATGGTTAAAAATGCACCCTTTGCATGTATTTGACTTTGCTTCCTTAAAGGTGCAACAATTAGTGCAGAGGGACCATTAATGATGATGGACCAGTGTCAAAATATCTATTTTTGGATATTTCATCAACTCAAAAAAACCTGAATGGACGTTATTTCAGCTGATATTCTTCTTAAAACATGGTGGATCTTAAAAATCTATAAGTGGGACTCCCTTATTAATAGAAGCTTTGAACTGAATTTACACTTCTAAATTGATAGTTTATCCATACATTTTTAGAAAAATGGTATGTCAAAGAAGATGTTAAGCCAAATGCTCGGATAAAAACAGAAAATTTTGAAATTACTTTTAAGGCCTTGTTGCCCCTAAATACAGACTAGTCTCGGTTTTGAGAACGAAGTTCATCGGTCTACTGTACTACTGCATTTTTCACCTACTTTGGACAATTTTGATATGTTTACACGCTGCAGATTTAAACGTAGACAATTCGAGACAATAAATGTGGGAATATCTGGAAAATCCGGCCACGGCCAAGAAAACAAAACTGAACATGAATATTCTTAAATATTTCTACGGTTGAACAATGTGAACCAAATGACCAAGATAATGCAAGATTGGTATGGGATAAACATATTATCTTATAGTCGGTTCAGGATATTGGGATTATCCCGAAGCCAATATAATATATCTTCCCTCGGGACCTACGGCTATTATATTGGCTTCGGGATAATCCCAATATCCTGAACCGACTATAGGATAATCTCTATGTATCTCATACTTGAGTGGGTTTGGGGTAGATATCACCCGGGAATATATATCACATCTGAGGAGCGGGCAGGATATATTGTACATGTCCCGCTCCAGGCTAAATGCGGGCAGATATAATATATCCATCCCACTTCTGGGAATTTTTCAAAAAAAAGTTTAAAGATTAAACAATTTTAAAAGTTTTAAATTTCAAAAGTTTCCATTTTTTAAACGTTTAAATGTTACAATTTCATTGTATTGAACTAAAGGAATATTACGAGAATATTAAATATAACTTTTTCAATATAGGCCTATCTTGTCATTTGAAAAAGTTGGAAAAGGTTATCTACCCTAAACCCAATCAAGTAGACTATGAGATACACCAGTTATGCACGGTCGGTTTGGGATATAGGGTATATCCAAAACCTCCCAGTACATAACCCTTATATATCGGCACTCGGTAAACAATTACGTACAATGAAACCATATATCCGAACTCCTGGCTAATCCGAACACTTTCCAATCTGAAAACTTTCTCCGGTCTGAACACCACTTCATTCGAACGGTGAACATTCGTATTTGAAACTTAGTTACCTGTCTAATCTGAACACTTCACAAAATGTGAAGTTTCACATATTTTTACAAAATTGCTCAAATATCTTCAATTTAACACTGATTTGTTATAATATCAAAATGTTTGAAATAACATCGAATGCTCTGGGATCTTTCTAGCATGACCATTTAATTCATTTAAATCGGATTTTGTAATGTCATAGAGCTTTGCGGTCAATAGAAATATTAATATTCTTTGAGAATGCATTTCCTTCAAATCTTGAGGATGCAAAAACCTCGAAATCCGAACACCTCCCAACCCGAACCCTTTTAGCTGTTCCAATGACTGTTGGATTAGATAGGTTTTACTACAGTTTTTGTTAGGATTTGAAAAAGCTAGCCGCATATTCTCCACCATCCTTTTTCAAAGGACTTCATTTATGCTTAAATACTATATACCTTTTTGCAAGGATGATTCAGCACATCATTGGAAAGCTCATCTTGTCTTCTTTAACTCCTTCGTATATCAGAATTAAATCAAACCCACTGAGAAATCGAAAACGTATTTCGCATAGAACTATAATAAAATTAGATTAGATTATTGCCCCCCCCCCTCTTTCTAGAGGGGGTCCAATAATGCTATATAGCCTCGGCCCCTCACAATCTATGTAAATAATTATGTTGAATAATACGGGGTATGCATCACTCCGATTGCACCCATGATAGCACACCCCCTGGCTACGCCCATGTATTACATTCTATAAATTGCTTCTTTGTATGTTCATAATTTGTTTTATTTTCTGCTTAAACAAAGATAATTCAAATTCTTATGTAGGGGCGTAGCCAGCTTTCAGTCAGGGGGGGGTGCGATCGCCATTTTTTCGGTTTTCATTCAGGCGGGGGTGCGATCGTAGCATAAGCAAAATAAAAACAAAAGATTCGTTTTGAATTATATTTTATGCAATTTCTTTCAAAATGGTGCTAGAAGCTTCAAACAAAAATGCATTTTAAAGCTCTTTTCTTCCTCTATCTAACCCCCTGGCTACGCCCATGGCGTTATAGTGGTGACTGTTATACCCTAGCAAGATTGGGCGCAGAATGCGTATTAATGTTATTTTTCTTCATATTCGCGCTGATTCTTAAAAACTTCGAAACTGCTCACCCAGATCAGTAACTTGAGACAATTTCGTATCCACTGCAATGAAGGTATGCTCAAAATAAAAAAAGACAATTCCATGAGAGTCAGCATGAGTGTAGTCAGATAATCGGCAAAGGAAAAATCAAGTAGGGGGAACATTTAACTAATGGTCTGAGTCTGATCAGTAGGCTACTACGCGTGAGTAAATTTCGTTTTACACCTTAAAAACGCCTGAATATTATCTTTTTCAACGGCTATTTTCTGTTGTTCAGTCGGCCTTTGAGGTTACCTGAAAACAGAACATTCTGTAAAATATTGTCGAGGTTATTGGCAACTTGTTTAGTGTCATCATGGTGTCTTAGTGTCTCGATTGCTGCCTTGTGCTGGCAACGCCCATGATCGAAACATTTTGCCATAAACCATTACTGTTTCACCAAGTACTAAAAGAAATAATTCCTGTATAAATTTTTCTTGACTCATTATCGTAAAATTACAAGTTTATCATAGTTCGATTTAAAAACATTGATTCATCATTCATCCCGTATATCTCGTGTAAAGATAAAATAGCATTTAATTTGGCTCACTCTGTACACTGTGGTCAGTTTTCAAGAGCAATAACATTTGATTGGCTAACTTATGTAGGTCAAGGATAAGCCCGCCGAAAGAGGGTGGTAACTTAAATTGCTTAATCGTACAAATCGCCTGGTGGATATATCTCATAAATTTACAATAATGATACATCACAATCAACATATCAGAAGTTCCAATATATTGTCCTAAATCAAAACGCTTAGTTTTTACAAAAATTAAATCGAGTTACATCCTTATACCCCTTAAAAAGTGAGATCGCCCAGTTGCGTAGTTTGTACACAGTGTTGTGTCAATGCGACCAGGTCAGAAAAGTCGAGTTGACTTTAACTTTGTTCTTTTGATAACCGTTAGCAAGCTAAAAAATGACTGACGGAGGATATTACGATTATCAACAGGTAGAGCAGAATGCCTCCTTCCCAAGTATGAACCCGTATCGTGCACAAGAAAGCCAGCATAATTATGGTAAGTGACTTTCTGGACCCTACTTATTCATTCACGGCCACTCCGGCCATTTTGTGTGGTTTACAATACCTACATACTCTTATATAATGACACATAATCATGGTAATTCCGGTTATTGTAAGTCCATGAAGGTACTTCCCCAAATACCTTATTATTACTAGACATGTTACGTAAGTATGTGTGTTCACTCTACTGCGGTTGACCAGTGATTTATCCAAAACAAAAAGAATCAATCAAAATGAAGCATTTACAAAATGGCGGCTGATTTTGACAGGTGTTCTTTCTTATGAGCATTGGTTGATGAAAACATGATTGACAGTGATTTTTACCAGGACATTATTTCAAAACACTGACATGCATGTTCAGCGGACCATAGCATCATCTTAATTGTTTTGATAGTCTAAAGAGATTTTCCATCATTCTGTTAGTCCACATCATTCATTACACTTTTTGTTGGATGTACTTACTTCGGTCCAAAGCCTTCTCTATATTCCGGCTTTGAGGAGGAAGATTGAGCTGCCTTAGTATTATAAATATTGTAAATCATTGTGTCACACGCACAGTAAATATGGCATAATAATATGAAATATACCTTTATGTATAGGTTTGAAGAACATCAGCTCACATCCCCGTCTGAATCTATTGTTATATTTGATTTCTTTAAGCGAGAATAATTTCAAATGTTATTCACGTCCAGAACCGGAAGCCATTTTTAGCTACAGCGAGAAAATTTCACCATGTGTCAAAACTCCGAAATGAAATTTTGAAATATCTAAATCCAGACAAGCAACGCTTCATCCTAAATATGATTAATATTCTTAAAAATATTTATAAAATTTATTAAAAATGAGTTCTAGGTGCGTGTAGGTGCGTGTAGCACAGTACATACGAAATCAATGAAGTTTCGTCTAGCTGTAAGCTAGAGACTCGAGTAAGGATGTACCATCCTTCATTTGTTTTATTGTCCTGTTTATAATATTTTTACATCCTCTCTATTGATGTGTTCATAGTTACTGTTTTCTCACTATGACATGAACATGGGCACTGAGCGTAATAATTGTACCAAACTGTACAGTTGGGGACAAAAATAAATGACAGGTCGATTTTCGATCACCATTTCCTAATTATGGTGGTCTGAAAGCCCATAATTTCAAATATTGTCTAGATATATATCCCTTAAAATTTGTATATTTTACATTTTGTATAATCTCATCCACTGATGTATGGCCTCTTGTAAATTCTCTTATTTTTAACATGGGAAATCCTCACTTCAGCAAATCCACCTGTCATTTATTTATGTCCCCAACTGTATAACTAAACTCTTAAAAACCATAGATAAGTGAAAAGTAAAATCATTTCCCAATTCTGATATCATCTCTCTCTGTTGCATCGCAGATGGATGGAGATGGAGAGGGTTTGGCTTACCATGATATCATTTCCCCACTGGAAAAGTTAGTCAATTTCAAAATTGCTCCCAAAATTCCCTTGTTGATCTAGGAATTCAAGAACGACTAAAAATTTTGGGGAAATGGTAAGGGCTAATAGCCAATCAAAGGATTGGTATCGATATGGAGAATTGAAATCAACAATGTTTTTTTCTTAAACCAATTATTGAAAACATTCTGTAAAAAACACGGTCCTTTATTTAATGTTGACTGATTTACAACAATTTAATGCGAAAATTATTTATTTGTATTTTATAAAGCTGTTTTTGTTAACATTTTTTTGCTTTTTAGTGCAATTGTTTTTTGTTCCTTTTTACCATTTCTTGAGAATGAAATCAAATATCTTTCAAAAAATTCAAACAAAAACCCCCGAAATAGGTAAAAATTACGATAAACCTTTAATTTCATTAACAAGATACTTTTTTTAAATCAACCAAACTTTCCATTGTATAATTACAATATTGAGAGACATAAACACGTTGTGTTTATGTCATTTTGTTCCAATGAGGTTCGGATAGATGTTTCATTTCATTCCGAAAATATGATACAAAGAACAAAAGAAGTGTCCGATGTATTTTTTAAAACAATATAGAGCGACGTATATATATCTATTTCAAATTATATTGTTACCATTCAAAAGATGACCATTAAATTGACAATGTGTAAAATTTTCAGAATTTTTTGATGACTGGTTTAAGAGAAACGTGTGTTCAAATAGTATCGATACCCATCCTTTGTGTGTTTTTTTTTCTTCTGATATTCAAAATGGTTCAATCAGAAAAATATATCATAATACTTATATACATATAGGCAGATACCATTCTTAAGTTTTATAATAGACATGATTTTGAACCACCAGACTTGTACAAAGGAAATTCCGTTATTGGGGCCATTTTTATCTTATTTTTTCAATAGTTTAGCCATTATTTGATTATTAGAAATAGGCAGATACTATAGTTAAGTTTTTACAAACACAATTTTGAATCACTTGTGTAAAGAAAAATCTGTTCTCGGGCCTTCAACAAACATATTCTTATTATATTGTTGTATGGTTATATTCAACATTTCTTCACAGTTTGTCATGTTTTGTCATTGTATAAAGTTTATAATAGAAGATAATAGAAGATGAACACTGTCAGATTCTATGGGGCAGTCCAGGTAAAGTTATTTCCATTAGTCTGTTAGAGTATCTGGCAAAGAACAATGTTAATAAGACTGCACTGGAGCTGATTTGAGATGTTCTACACTCCCTTCATCTTTAATTACTGTCTTATCTCTATGGAATAGTTGCCGTGCCAACCCGGAATAGTTACCATGCCAACCTTGTATATTACAGCAGAAACAGACAAAGTTGATCTGTCAGAACCAACAACCAGTAATGTCCTGTAACTTTGAGCTTCAGTTACTGAAATTACAGTGGAACATCTCCTATATCTTAGTTTTGGGTTTTACACAACATATGGTACATGATTGTGAAGTTAGTCTATATCATCATGTGATTTTGATTCATTCATGTTCAGTTTGTATTCTTTCTCTACATTCTTTGAGCACTCTGGGCACCAAGAGTAAATCATTTCCTTATTTAGACTTTTATTAATACCATTTTTTAAAAAGAGTATTTGCGATAAATATTACCATTTCAAAAGATGGAATATTCTTTGATATTTTAACTTTTAAGATTGGTCAGTATAAATACATTCTTTTCATATTCTCTGAATCATTCCGTTTAACTGTCACTTATGAGTAATATCATTTAAAATCTCAAAGTGGATGTTGTTGAAGTATATTATGTTTCACTTTCAATGAAGATTCACCTTATTTCACACCTGACACTGCTCTTAGGAATGTGTTTATGAGGATGTGGGTTCTTAATTCTAAACGATCAATTGAAATATTTGAAATAAAACTTTTGGGCATGTCTAATGACAAGAATTCATTATGGAGTACTATCTGGGTGATTATCATTCATTTTGAGATGTATGCAGTAATTGAAAAAAAGTAACTGATGCTCCATAATCAAGCAAACTTAGATACCATGCCTCGGTTTTAGAGACACAATTGCTTGTTTTCCGAAACTACAATCATTTTGATATAAGATCTTGAACTTTTCAAAAGCTAAATGTGTTATTTTTCTCTCTTATTGGTAGGGAGATATGAGTAGAATTGTTTTGATCTTCTACTAAAACTTTGTAAAATGAAAAAAATTGGTTGAGATATTTGAGATCGTCATGGTCAGAATAAGGCCTCATATTATGTCTAAGATATTAGTCTATATATAGAGATTTAAATTAAGGGTTTTTATGTTCAGTATTGTATAACTATACAGGACAGTTCAGTTCAGTATAGCACAGTCCAGAACAGTAGTTTTGATGATGTGTTAACATACCCCAGAGAGTCGAGGCTATAAATACAATGAAATACTGACCAAAGGTGCGTTCAGCATTCAACATTATCAAGAGTGGTGTAAATAATTCAAGCCATTGGCATTGAATGGTCAGTATAGCATTCATACAAGGAATATTTTATTGATTCCTTCCAACTCACTGAATTAACTCATTAGAAAGGTCATGTCTGTACCACCAGTATATTATTAGAGACATGTTCACTGCAATTCTTGGCTAATATTAGAGAATAACATGTAGAGAGAGGAGAGCTGTTGTGATTTTATGTTCTTTCATTCACAAGGAAACATTATTTTGCTCCTAGTACAGATGGTGATCCAGTAATCATCTTTCACCATTTTTACCCCTGATGTAATGTTCAAGTAGACAACAATATGTTATACTAACTTCCGATCACAATAATTTGGTAAAAAGTTTGTTCCATGGAATCTTACTATAAATTCAAGTTCAAGGACTATATATTGTTGCACCAAAAGCCCATATAGTATACAACTAATTTGACGGTTTGATGGTTGGCAGGTAGCTTTCAGCATCTATAACAAATTGTTACACTTTTCAGTGATCTTTTCTCAAGTGGGTGCAAAATTCTCATTTTCACAATTCAGACCAAAATTGGTCAAAATATGCCAATTTTCATGATTTTTTTCATTTTCAAGTGGGTGCAAATGGATTTTCAGGTGGGTGCAAGCTTATTTTCAAAATCTTTGGTGGGTGCTGCGCCCACTTGCTTTAATGCTGGGGAGATCACTGCTTTTGTAACCATTTGTAATAGCTTGGCAGGGGGGTTACATTTTTTCTATGCCTTATATTTTTCTTGTTGCATTAAGGTGACTGTTAACTTAATCGATTTTCAGAAAAAATTGAAAATTTCACAATCTTGAAATTTTCAAACTCTTCCTTCTCTTGAATAGGAAATTATTGTTTATAATTATAATTCGGGTTATATTAAATATATAAGTTCAGGTGGCAAAAGGGGAAAGACCAAACGTATCTTGTAAAATCAGTTATAAAATGCAAATATCAAACTTGAAAACTTGATTTAATTTTTACTCGAACATTAAACCTGAAAACTGAATTTTATTTTTACATGAAATTGGCATATTTAGTTTCATAGATTTTTGGGAATGCATACACTACCGACATTAATTGTTTG